GTAAATACTTGAAAAAAAACTGTCTCGAATCAATCGCTTGGTATCGTATGTTGAGCTCTCCATAGATAGGCTATTTCAATCCGATGCACGGTCAAGACAGTTTTGTGTCATGTGTCTCCGTGTTGGCTCCATTTACGTCATGGCTGTGAGATCACACACATAATAAGTTATGGAATATCAAGAGAGGATAGTTTCTTACCTGTTGAATACAGCAGTCTCTCGTTTAATTGTACCTCCTTTTGGTGTTCTTTGACAAAAGACACCAGTTTGAGAAACGTATTTTGGTCGGTAATATATTGCCTCATATTCGCCATTGTGTAGCTAAGATTAAGGCACCAGAGACGTTCGCCTTGGACATTACGCCTTACAAAAACCATTAGAAGAGGTCTCGTTGGGCATTTTTTGAAAATGCCTCTGCCTCTCGGCGAACCTTCAGCACTATAGGCCGATTACTATCAATTCCAATCGAATCCAGAGTAAACGTTTTCTAGTACCCGCACAAGGCTAGGATGTGAATGATGATGAAATTATTATATGTATTTTCTTGTTACGCTGCTGCATTGTTAGAGGGCTATAATATAGCTCTGTATAGAGGAATACAACAAGCACGGCCCAGTACTCCAGAATAAGGCCAGCTTATAATTTATCTAAGGCTTTAAACAGGGTTAGGTTATACTGTATAACCTTTTCGATTACCGTATGCATGTTTAATATACAGGATGTCCTAGAAAGAATGGATAATTCTGAAACACCTCATAGTAGAGAGATATTTTGAGTCCCCAATAGCTCAACTATGAGGTGTTTCAAGATTATCCATTCTTTCTGGGACACCCTGTATATTACTCGTTTTTTCACACTGAAGTACTAATGTAGATTCTAATCATTTCGTATACATTTTAGAAACGTCATTAATATGCTCTACAATTGTACAGAATCCGTATCATTTAATGAATGTATTTCGATCATAATCTCGATAAATGGACGCAATCCTCAAAAAACGAACGTTCGACGGTCGAATTAACAATAAATTACGAACGCTAATGCTCAGTGTCATTAAGGAGCAATTAATCAAAAAACGAGGAATGGTATGAAAGCAACCGAATAACGGAGACATTTTACCAGTCACCAGAAACTCCATTAGGAAATACATTTGAAATCAATACCATAATACTCCATTGACCAACTTTTGACAAAACATAGAATTGAAATGCTGAAGTTCTTAAAAGTATTTGATCTATACTAATTTTATAAAGAGGAAAGATTTGTTTGTTTGTTTGTTTGTATTGAATAGGCTCCGAAACTACTGAACCGATTTGATAAATTCTTTCACCGTTTGGAAGCTACACCATTGACACCATTACACCGAGTGACATAGGCCATAATCTTTTTTGAAAAAAATTACGGATCCTTACTAAAACTCCAATAATGTAACCCAAAGTATAAAAAAAATACTTAAAATATTCTTTACATCGCGTGCCCTGCGAAAACTATTGACGATAGAATAAAATAATGTACTAGGACTTTGTAGAACACATTATTATTTACAAAAAGTGTCGCGACAGCACATTTCTAACTATTATAGTTACGCCGCAATAAGTGGTATTTTATTTAAAAAAATAAAACGTCAAATATCGTTGAAATTTTTGTTAAAGACCCGAGCGGAGCCAGAGCGGGCTGCTTGTTAAAAATATTTTTAGGCAATAATCCTTTAGATGCAGGCATTCTAAAATCGGAAACACTACTATGGATTCAAAATACTGCTTTAATAAAACCAATAAGAATTTTTGACACATCAAGATTTTTTTATTGCCTTTATATAGGCAGACGAGCATACGGTCCACCTGATGGGGAGTGGTTACCGTCACTCATGGACGTCAGCAATGCCAAGGGCCAATTCCATGCCTACCCAGAGCTTAAAATGCATATGTTTATAATTAAAATTACTTTCAAAGTTGATTAAAAGCATGTAAATAATTATAATTAATACTACTATTTTATCACAAGTTTATTATTTTTATGTATAATTTCCTATGTACCTTGTACTTCAAGAGTTTTCGTGGTGACAAACAACGAAGGTGCTATTTGTTGACATATTTGAATATTATACTACCTAGTCTAATTTTTTAAATAAAATTAATGTTTACATGTTTATTTGGACAAAAAAAGAACTAAGTGTCTTGAGGTCTAACAATTTGTTTCATTTGTGTTTTGTGCATCAACTATCACCTGTATTAATGCAAATAAGTTTATAAGCAACTAGCGGCCCGCCCCAGCTTCACTTGGGAAATAGGGCACGCGATGTAAAGAATTTTAGGTAATTTTTTTACACATTGGGTTACATTATTGGAGTATTCAGTAAGGGTCCCTAATTTGTTTGAAAATATAATAAATACCGCCTATGTCACCCGGGGATAGCATAGCTTTTCAACAGTGAAAGATTTTTTAAATCGGTTCAGTAGTTTTGGAGCCTAATACAAACAAACAAACAAATCTTTCCTCTTTATAATATTAGTATAGAAGTATAGATGACAAAATCCAAATACTCAGTACAGAAAAGAAGTTATTTCCATGATATTGGATAATCCAGTTGAAATTTAATATGTGTATAAAAAGTATTCTCTTTGTATTCTTAGTCTTTCTGTTTTTATTTATTCAAAAATATTATATGCAAAATTGAAACTCTCAGTAACAAGGAACATCAAAAAAATAATTGATTGGTCATTTAGAATATTTATTTCAGAGCTAGCAGATTCTCTCTACTTAATTTATTCATTATTTTAATTATACATATTAGGTATGGAATAATTTTTTTTTTTTTAAATATTATGGTTTCAATAAAAAGCCTCCTTTTTTAAAGTGCACATGAAACTTAATTTATTAAGCACAAAAGAAAGGTGTAGGTAGATTACATCAGGATTCAGGTGGAAGGTCAGGTAAGGTAAGTAGCGGGATTGAGAGTACCTTTAATTTTCTAGTCTGAAAAAATGCAAGTAAATTTATTAATTCTGATAATTTTAATTTAATTACACAATTTAAATTGTCCAGTATATATGTAACAGTAAATTGTTTTTGTTTTTTAATATTTTTTTACTGTATTTTTAATTTATTTTTATTATGGCTTCGAATGTACAATAAACAATTTTTTTAATTACTTATAAAAAGGATCTATTTTCGCCTAGTTTTTTAATAGTAATTCAAACATCATTTTATTTTACACAACTTGTAAAAAAATAATGATAAAATCAGAAATAAATTCCTATAAGCTTTCAGCAAACTATGCAGGATAAACCTTCACACGAACTTCAAAGTTATTCGTGTGATGATTTGAACTTCGATTTTTTTGCGTATATCGCAAGTTTAAGCAAACTTTGATCTAGGTAAGCCTCTTACGATTATACATTAATACACACCAATTCAAATTAAATTACAATACAATTAATTCTTCATGTTTTGTGAGACAATATGTTTGCAATGGAAAACCTACTGGAGCTCCATATACCTACGTACTATGGTGGAAAGTGGTGTTTCGCGTGATTTCTAAATGGGTCACCTTGATTTTGTAATCGCTGTACGTACTTTGATATCTTTAGTTTAATATTACTTAATAAAAACAAATCAAATGATATATTTAATGTTAGTTTTCTATTATCGATCGAGAATGTTTGATGTCAGGCGATGAATGAAACGATAACTCAAAGCAATACTCACCGAAACTAGGTGCTTTTGCACCTTTGAGGAGAAGCACAATTTTCACAATAAGGTCTTAGTTAACTCTCTTAATACAATATGCTATAAGCCCAGGTTACTAGTACAAAATTAATTATATTTCGTTTTTAACAGGACAATTCACTGAAACAAATCACGAACGAGCACAAAAAAAACAAGACGAAACAGACTTTTCAAGACGAAGACAGATGTCGCCCTTGTGCGAATGACAATATAATTGACATTTGACATATGAGTTGTATATTTTTTTATTCGATTCGTCTCCTAAATAAGCAACGCCAATGAAGAACGAACGGATATATATTCTGTACAAATACATCGTGTTATTTGAGTATGATGTAAAATGGAACAGACTCTGAAATGAAATAAAGCCTTTAGACAATCTTATAAATTTCGAAAAAAAATATTAAAATAAAATTGACGGTAAGGAAATAATTAAATAATTATGGACATTGAAACAACTATAATACTGTTATGGTAAGGTATGGCGCTCGCTGTAATTCTGCGCGAAACCGGTGTCATGAACCTGCTTCTACTTCGCTTCATGAGATCTAATTTGAAAGATATGAAAGTTATAGTTGAGCCAATGCGCTTAGTCAACTAACACTTCGATCTTCCATCTTGCCTTCACCGCAGAGATTGGCGAGACGTGGGTTCGTGGCCGTACGAGCCCAGAAGTTTCCCTATGGTCAGTAGTTGCGAAATGATGTCATGGTTCTGGGTCATGACCAATTTTTTGTGAAAATTAAAATCGGATACGTACAGAATTGTAGACTTAATTTTTTGTATTTCATTTTCCATTATTTTTTCTCCAAAATAGTTGTTAACTTATTACTATTACCATCCTATTAACATTTTCACCACCATGATAATGAAGTGTACAGTGTATACAAGGTGTAATTTTATGTATTTCTAGTAGCTTCAGTCGAGAATATAAAATAATAAATAGTCCAATTTTCCAAAGCAGACAGTTCTTGATATGGTGTTTTGTTTAAAGACAGCTTTGATGTAAGATAAATATATATCATCATTATCCTGCCCTTCTCCCAGTCACCTGGGGTCGGCGCAACATGTTTTCTCCTTCCATACTCTTCTATCATATACCATTTCTTCATTTATTATTTATATATAAGATAAATATATATATTACAGTAAAAATGAACATATGACCTCACAAAAGTTTCAAGAATTCATGCCGTAATTTTCTTAATAAAATTATTATCTTCATACTAAACTATTGGTACTTTTCATAAATTTACAAAATAAATTTCATTATATCAATCCTCAGGCTTCCTTTATTTCCATAATTTTCTTATCAATCTTTTTTTTATAATTCATTCTATCTAAAAATAAACAACAATCTCAGTCTTATCAACACCCTTCTTCACTCAGGATTTAACAACATTAGTACTTTTAAATGAAATTTGTAGGGAACAAACTTCTTTTTTAACATAAAAAAAATGTACTTCTTTACTATTTATAAACATATTTTTAATTAAGACCAAAATAAATAAAAAAAGAGATGTTGAAATTGTTTGAGTTTAATTCGCTCAATAGTCTTACTGAAATAAATAAGATAATCCCTTAAATGTATATTTTTTGAATCTAATTAAAAGAAAATATATATATTAAAAAACTCATTAATTTTGAAAGCACCTTTTCAACGGGAGAAAACTTTCTTTAATATCTTACATTAGTAAATAATTATTTTTCACGTTATGCCATACTGTGAACAAGTCACACCGAACTCAAGTGAGTTGCAAAAGTTATCAATTAGTAACATCAAGCAAAATCAACACCTGTGTCGAGTAAGTCCCTTATTAGTACTGTTGCTCGACGCGGTAGAATACGTAACAAATGACCAAGACATAACAAATGCTTTGGGACTGATGCTTCGGGGTAGTTCCTCCTGACGCTGTCCAGGATCGATGATGCTGCTTCTACAGGTGATATAGTCCCGAAATAGCTGGGTATCCTTCAAATGTTAAAAATTAATTTAAGCCTTGCTAATTAAGATAACAATTTATATCTTATCATATCTTAACTTTTCACGAAGATAGAAATATTTCAAGTTCAAGAGTACTGTGTAAATTGAAACTGAATAATGTAAAATTGATTGAAAGTAGATTTTGTACTGTAATAATCCATCTCCATTAACAATAGCACTAGGTGCCAGAAAGGTCATTAATGTATATGGGTTCTCAAAAAATTTGTTGCAATGATATTTCACAATCTATTATAAACAAAAGGCTACCATTATTCTCACCTTAATTTCACATCGTGATACTCATCATTCACGATGAAAGGATATATGTGAATCAATGTCACATGCACATTATCAATCTTATTTATTCTGAGATCCTCCATCAGCGACTCCGCTAACCCCTGCACTGCAAACTGAGCAACACTGAGCGGCATCTTATCTTTTATGTAGCTGAGACCAGCTACAGAAGTCAAAGCCACAATGTGCCCGTGGTCTCTGGTTTTCATTTCTGGTAAGAAGTTGTCTATGAGCTGAAAAAAAATTAAGCAAGGAAAATTGTGTTTTAAAAAAATATTGTAGTGTAATTTATACATGTATGAGGGTATCTATGTCAACTACAGAAATCACTGACTTGCTTAAATGTTAACAAAAGACCATTTCATCCAGCTGATGTAACAACTGGAAGTTAAATTTATGGAAAAATTTTAATAGTTCACTACACACAAAAAACTAAATAAGTTCCAATTTTTTAGGTTTAATTAATGTTACATTATTGACCTTAGCAACCCTTAAAGATTAGCTTTTGTTCACGAGTGGCATTGATTGCAAGTGAATCAAGTGGATCTTGATGGGTCTATAGAAACAATAAAGTAACTTACCCAGAAATATGATGTCAATGTCAAATCCAGTGTTTTGTGTATATCTTGAGGTGGTTGTGTCATTAAAGACCTAGGGCTGGGTATACCACAGCAATAGAACAACATGCTGACAAAACCAACATCTTTCTTAATTTGTGCTGCTAATTCTTCTATTTTCTCTCTTCTTGTAACATCACAAATGTAACTGGCTGCTGATCCACCTCTAAGTTTGATGTGTTCCACAGTATCTTCATTATTCTGATGATTGATGTCAATACACAGTACTATTGCCCCTAGATCTGCAAGTTGCATAGCTATTTGTCGTCCAACACCTCTTCCGGAGCCAATGACCTAAAATCAGTTAAGACTTTTGACTTTTTTTTTTATTGCTTAGATGGGTGGATGAGCTCACAGCACACCTGGTGTTAAGTGGTTACTGGAGCCCATAGACATCCACAACGTAAAATGCGCCACCCACCTTGAGATACAAGTTCTAAGGTCTCAAGTATAGTTACAGTTAATAAGTAATAAATAAACAAAAAATATGTTTTAAATTTATCTCACCATAGCAGTTTCCAATCTGACAGTTTTCAATGGTGGCGGTCTGAACAATTCATATGCAGCTTGAAATGTTGCGCATATTGCATTGAACACAACCCAAGCAACATCCACCATCAAAATGCAAAATGAATAGAGTCGTAGTAACATTTTGATTGGAAAAATGAAATGTAATAACACTGACAGTACATCCATTTGTTTGGATTCCTGAAAGGAAAAATAAATTAAAATAATTTACATTAAAAAAAAAAAGAGATAATTTAAGCCGATCCTTCGAAAAAGTATGATGAGTTGGGTGGCTCAATTTTGTTCGAAAAGATTACTAATTAATTTCAAATGAAATAGATAAAAAACTCACCATTAGTGTTTCACAAGATATATATTTCCAAATTACCCGCGAATAACAATCGCTTATCTGAATACAGAATAAGGCACCCAACACAGTGCTTTTAATGCAAATGCCACTGCGTGCTCGAAGCGGAACTCACAGAAAACAATGAACTTTTGATAGTACCGCAGTTCGGTTATGTTATCAATACTTTTATGGAGATAACAATAGATAGGTACTTAATGCACATATGCAATGCCTTTCATGAAATATAATCATCTACAAATGACGTTGGTATGCTTTGCAAATATTTTTTTTATGATTTAACGTTATATCTTGTTAAGTAGATATTATTAATGTAAGTTTAAAATAAAATTTGATTTGTTTAGCTCGCTAAAATTTGTGTACCAATTGTAATTATTTTTTTAAGAGATTTTATGACCTGGTAACTGAGACCTTTAAGTCATGTCTTATTTTAATCTATATTCTTAATTTTATGAAAAATGATATTATGGAGTGAAATGAAATAAAAATGATTAATTTGAGACATTAATCAACTAGGATGAAATTAAATGAGATGATATGAGATGAAATCTAATCTCAGTAAAATGGTGGTCATTTGCTAAGATTTTTCAATAGACTTTTTGGAGGATCCCGAGAAGTTACGTCCAGCGGCTTTGTTTCATTTTCCCACATTTGTGCACTTTCACAGATATTAAACGGTTAATAAACAACCATTATTACACATTTAAACCCGAAGAAACACTAAATAGACAAAATAAAACAAATAACACAACTTCACTCCTCGCGTTCCCGCCAAAAAGTCCCCAATTGTAATTTGCCATGTTTTACGCACAGATTAAACCACAGAACACTATTACTTCTAGCGAAGGATTAAACACTTAATATATTTAATTTTGAGATATATTGGTTTTACGTTTTACGGAAATTTATTATGTGTTTAATCTTAAGTGTATAATCTATGGTACGAAGGAAAAATTGTACCAAAATTATATTTCATTCCATATCATCTCATCTCATCTCATTTCATTTGATTTCATCCCAGTTGATTAATGTCTCAAATCAATCATCTTCATTTCATTTCATCATTTTTCATATTCATTTGCCATTTTTTCAATGGACTTTTTGAAAGATCCTAAAGAGGTTACGTCCAGCGGATTTGTTTCATTTCCCCACATGTATGCACTTTCAAAGATATTAAACAATTAATAAACCATCGTTATTTCACATTTAAACCTGAAGAAACACTAAATAGACAAAATAAAATAATTCACACAACTTCACACCTCGCGCTCCCGCCCCGTCTAATATGAATATATTAACATGGATAATACACTCAATATCTAGGTAAGTTTGAAGTCGTCGTGGCCTAAAGGTTAAGACGTCTGGTGCATTCGTATTGAGCGATGCAACGGTGTTCGAATCCCGCAGGTGGGTACCAATTTTTCTAATGAAATACGTACTCAAATGTTTACGATTGACTTCCACGGTGAAGGAATAACATCGTGTAATAAAAATCAAACCCGCAAAATTATAATTTGCGTAATTACTGGTGGTAGGACCTCTTGTGAGTCCGCACGGGTAGGTACCACCGCCTCGCTTATTTCTGCCGTGAAGCAGTAATGCGTTTCGGTTTGAAGGGTGGGGCAGCCGATGTGACTATACTGAGACCTTAGAACTTATATCTCGAGGTGTATGGCGCATTTACGTTGTAGATGTCTATGGGCTCCAGTAACCACTTAACACCAGGTGTTTTTTTTTTTATTGCTTAGATGGATGGACGAGCTCACAGCCCACCTGGTGTTAAGGGGTTACTGGAGCCCATAGACATCTACCACGTAAATGCGCCACCCACCTCGAGATATAAGTTCTAAGGTCTCAGTATAGTTACAACATCTACCCCACCCTTCAAACCGAAACGC